GGTCCTCAGCTCTGATATTCTTTCTTCTGCTTGGGTAATTCTGCTTTCGATGCTTATTATTTTGTTATTTATTTCCATCTTTTGATTCTTTTTTTTGGAATTGGAATCTCACTCTGTCACCCGTACTCGAATGCGTCGGATGCTCCCGGCCACCGCAGCCTCGAACTGCTGGGCTCCGGCAATCCTGCCACCTCAACCTTCCTAATATCCGGAATTACAGGCATGCACCACCACGCCTGGCTGTTTTTTTGATTTATTGTAGAGATGAGGTCTCGCCAAGTTGCCCGGGCTGGTCTCGAACCCCTGAACTCAGGTAATCCTCTTGCCTCGGCCTCCCAAAATGCTGGGATTATAGGCGTGAGCAACCACACCTGACCTGAACATAGATTTTAGTCATGCAGAAGGAAAAAAAGTTCTAGAGATCTGTTGTACAATAATGTGCATATAATTAACAATATTGTGCTGTACACTTAAAAAAGTTTATTAAGAGGACAGATTTCATGTTAGATGTTTTTTACACCAATGGAAAAACATCAACAAAAAAACCATTAAAATGTTGAAAGAGGAGGAATAGATAAAATCTGTGCTCTCTCTGGAGAAGAGAGAAAAGACAGACTTAAGAAGGGACCTCTGGATAGGATTAGGAAGAAGAGCTAGTGAAGCAAAGCAGCTGCAAGGGAAATAGAGGCATGTAGCATTTGGCCATGCGCGATAGGGTTTTAAGGCAAAGGCTGTGCGTTGCACAGGAAAGTGCTTGGCATTAGAAGTCTCAGGACCCAAGTTACATTTACAGTTCTTCCATTTAGAGAAATCTCATTTCTTCCCTGAGACCCAGTTTTGTTACCTGCAAGACGAAAGAATACCTATGTATATGAAAGTACTTTAATATGGAATACAAATGTGAAGGAATTTTTGTTGTTGTTTTGCCTTTTATACCCCAGCAGCCTATATTATTTATTTTTTATTCTCTATTGCTTTTGTTGTTGATATGTAGCTCTTCAATTACGTGATAGGCTATCTATGGGAGACTGCTTGTGAGAAAACAAAATAGACATGACATTCTAAGAGGGTCAGTTGATGGCTCTTCCTTTGAAAGTTATCTCATCATTGGTTTTCACAAGACTCCCAGGGCTGCATTTCTTATTTTGCATTTCTTTTTATAACTTAGAATAACCAAGGAAATCTCCAATGGGAAACAGAGCCAACTGATTAGGTCAGTTCATTTTAGACAATGAAAAACAGGAAGTAACCCTTTTAATCTACCCAGGGCCAGAGATGGGGGGCTGGGAAAGACTACCTGAAAACTTCCCTTTTCTAGAGTATAGTGTTTTCTGAAAGACTTCATAGCATTGTGTATTGCAGGAATTTCAGGGCAATTGTAGAAAGCAGACTCAATTGATTTTTAAATTCCCAAGCATCGCTGCTTTTAGCCCAAATTTGAGCCAGCATGAATCAGTTACCTGCAAGGAAGCGGAGCTGATTCTTCACTTTCATCATGCCATCACCAGAGCCTCCGATGCACTCGTCTTCATCGTCACCACAGTCTCCACTTTCAAGCCCTTCCTCATCCAGGTTTTTATCCAGAACTCTACCTTTAGGCACAGACATGGTTCTCAGGAGCTGAAAGAAAACAACCAGGAATGCAGCAGCTCTTCATATTTCTCATGTAGGTCTAGACAGTGTGTTGTTAGTAGGAGACATTTAAAAATACTCAATGAATTACACAGAAGCCTTTTAAAAAAATTTTGTTGTCTAGACTGGAGTATAGTGGCGTGATATGGTTTATCACAACTTCAACCTCCTGGCTCAGGAGATCCTTCTGCCTCAGGTTCCCAAGTAGCTGAGACTATAGGCACATGCCACCACGCCCGGCTAAGTTTTTGATTTTTTTTTTAGAGGTGAAGTCTTGCTACAAAAGACCCCGGTCTTGTCTCGAACTCCTGGTATCAAGCAACCATCCCACCTTGGCCTCCCAAAGTGCTGGAATTAGCCATGAACCACTGCACCTGGCTTAAACAGAAGCTTTAAAAAAATCATCTTCAAGTTTAAGTACGTGTAAACTACTTATACTCTTTAGAGTTTCACACTTTTGGACTTTTCCACAGCATTTGATATAATTCTCCATTCTTTCACTCTACTTATATTACACAGTAGCCAGAGTGCATGAGACCTTTTCATACTATGGTATTTAAGTTTCTGAAAGTCTCCATGGTAGGAGAACTCACTGATAGGGAACTTTAGACATGATAGACAAAGCTAGGAGGACACCAAAATCTGAAAGATCCCTATGGAGGCTCCCTATAACCATATTTAAAGTCACTAAATTAAAACAGCAAATGAGCCGGGCTCGGTGGCTCAGCCTGTAATCCCGCGCCTTTGGGAGGCTGAGGTGAGTGGATTGCCTGAGCCCGCGGGTTCGAGACCCGCCTGGGCAAGCGAGACCTCATCTCTATAATAAATCAAAAAATCAGCCGGGCGTGGTAGCGTATGTCTATAATTCTGGCTACTTGGA